TGTTTCTCTTTGCCCGTAGAGAGAGTGGATACATGAGTGATGACTTCACAAAAGCAGCACAAAAGAAGGAAAAAAAGAAAAAAAAGTTTTTAATACGTTTTCTGAGCGTGTTTGAGAGATGTCCAGCGTTTTATTAGCATATACAGAAAATATGAAGCCTTTTAAATGTTTCTTCAACTATATGCTCCTTATAGTGATCTCTTCAGCATTGTTTTCAGTCTTGTCCCTAATATTCTATTACATTTAGAAGAGGGCACAGAAAACACATCAAATTATGAAAGTCAGCTTGATTTCTGTTTCAGAAATAAGCTAAACCTGAATATAATTGCATCAACCCATCTTAAAAACAGTTTACACCAGGGCACCAAAAGACTGAAAAAGTCCCAATTTCTAAATTAAGAAAAGCTGTGAGAACTTACTGGGACTATGTAGGTTAACTGGCAACACAACAGATGGGGACACTTTCGGAAGTAAAGAATTTGATAACATTGATATTCATTTAGTTGGAATTAGATTCAGTGGGAATTTAATTTTCATATTCTCTTGTTAAAGAGAAAGAAGAACGAAATGTACACAGAGCTAAACATTGCTTTGTCCCATCCTTCATGAGATGTGTCGATGTCAACAAATTCAAGATGGGTTCATATTTTTCATGGTATTATAAACCGCCACAGTCGTAAATGAGATATTGGTTCATGAACATGAACTGGTGTAATGAATTGGTTCACGTTCATGATAATGATAATGATGGATGAGGATCCTCTCCCCAAATTGAATGTAATGGTGTATTGTTACAGTATATAGACTACCTAAGTTTTAAAGACATCGTCTTTTCCTTGTAAAAGTACTTGAACTTGTTTCCTGTACCAGAACCCATTATCTGAAATGTGTCTTTGAATTGTTTCTGCCAAGGAAGAATATTTCAAATAGTCCATTGTTATTGTTATTGATATTGTTCAATTCTAAGTAAAAAGAAAGACCATTCTCCAAAAAAGAAAAACGTTTAATAGCATTTAATTATAATATGATACTGACGTTCACATGATTTGATTTTCCATACAACAGTTGTTAACTTTCTCAAACTGATGCTACCTGAAATTCAGAAGAAATATTCCATCAGATAAAACTAACAATAACAACAACTCTTATCACCCCAAGAACACTATAAGTACAGTGGAAGGTGGTGGCAGTGTCATACTGTGGGGGAAACATTTCCTCAAAGGAAATTCTTGGGGAAATCCTGTCCATTTTGAAGTGTGTTGTGATGGATCATCCTCTCACATCACACAGATGATAAACATGCTGTGGATTAGTTGAAACATTTGAATGTCTTAGAAAGGTTTCCTCAGTGTCTAAATATCCAACTGACAGGGAAAAACTGTGGTTTCACTCCAAGCCTGCAGGAAAACAGAGTTACAGAAACTTAATGCTGTAATTGTTTCAAAACCAAGCGCTAAAAAGTCATCCAATTTATTGTTTCTGACACAATGCAAAGATACATTCGAAGAGTTATGCATGAGTCAATCAAATGGCACAAAGCCTCAAAAAGCATTCATTTTAATTTCAGCTTGTTATGTAACAAAATGTAAAACATGCCAAAGGGGCTGGATGAATTAGAAAAGCCCTGCAGATATCTATCTGTGGGATCCCATACAAAGCTGCCTATTGCTCATCTGTATGTATCAGTAAGGGGTTAATCGGTGTAGTAATTTTGAAACAAAAAGCCCTCCAGCCTTTCCTCGAGATGGTGTGTGAGTCTGTGTTTTCCTTATGACAGGGGGGGTTGGAGGGATGTTACATCCCAGACTCGTTACCACGGTGACAAGGTGCTCCCTGCCGCCGTCGGGTCTCGGCCAAGTTGGGCGCCATGGTGGCTGGGTGGTGACAGACTTTGTGACGAGTCCACTGTGACACCACGGTTGGGTCAAAGTTAAAAATGCACATATATACAGACGTGTGCAGTGCAGGAAGACTGAGGCAAGAAACAAACACTTTTTTGTAAAAGGTTCAAACTTTGTGTTTTGTGTGAGCTTTTCAGAATGCGTGTACACAACGTACAGTACCTACATGTTCTGCAATAGACATACATGCTCTCATGCAATGTGTTCTCTCAGCTCCAAGCATCTCAATGAATTTTCTTTGTGTGCAGGCGTTCTGATGTGCATGCATGCATTTTGTGTTTATATTACACAAAGAGTTTGTTTTCGGAGACGTCCCTTCTGCTTCTATTCCTTCAGGTTAAAGATTTTTATCTCATACCATCGTCATAATTTTATTTTTTACGGTATGTGTGTGTGCTTGTGTGGACGTAGGCTTGTTAATGACCTGCACCAGCTCTGAGACACTCTTGTGATTGTCCGTAGATGAGACACCAGCAATACATGTTAGACAAACACACACTAAGGAAGTTTAGCCAAGCAAAAGGTAGACAAAAAACTTTAAAAAAAAAACCTTACTCAAATGTGAGATGTGCGCACACATGCACACGCATACAAAATAAAAACTTGACCAGAGAACAGGAGAAGCAAGGAGCCACAGTTGGGCTTCCTACTGTGAGTGGTCATGACCCTTATCAGACTCAGTGTCAGTCTGCCTATTGTTCCCCACATAGAACACAAACACACACATGCAATGCTATAACTTACATGGTCTCCATGACGATGGCTGGGGCGACAGTAAGGCGGCAGGATGGCGATGTATTGGCTGCTGAGAGGGTCTGACGAAAGGTTCTAACCTAATCATCATAATATATTTGGTGTATTTGAAGAAAACCTACAAGTTTAGGACTTGTGAAGTCAAAGGGAAAACACAATGTACTTGTGTTCATTGGAGTAAAATTCAGAGCTCTGGGCATAATGAGCTAAATTAGATTTTTTACATAAAATAATAATAAACTTTAGGCATATTTTAAAATACAAAAAAAAAAGAAAATATAATTAACTTTTTTGTAGTTGTGAAGAGTTAAAGCTGTCCATTTGCATGTGTGTCTATCTATGTGTGAAGCATTGTGGGAGCATTTGCCATTGACTTTGAACATCCAGACAAAATAAGATTTACAATGGCCATAATGGCAACTGAGAAGAAAAAGAAGACCTTTAAGTCTGGAAAATGTTAAACTTGAGAGTATCCCATGGCTTCCAACCCCACATAGCTCAGGAATTCAAAATTATTTCTTATTTCTTAAATATAATTTACCAGATATGAACATTTTTCAAACTAGATAAGCTAATGCAACAACATGTGATATTTACGATTGGATCTCACATCAACAAACTCCTCTTTGTGCACCGAATTAGGCTGATTGCGAGCAATTCAAGCTTCTTTTTTTTTACGATTGTTTTGGCTGATAGTCCTTCCCTAATCACTGAAGGGCCTCAGAGCTGTTTCGGAAGATCTTTTTTTTAATCATACAGCTGAAATGGATTTCAGTCACTTTTTCATATTATTTATCCTGGTCCTCTGTATTTTTCTATTACAGCCTGCTGGATCCAGTATAATAGAGTAATTAAAACCACAACTCATTAGGCTAAAAGTATCATTAATTTATCTTCAAGACTGTTAAAACTTTCAAGGAAAGACTATTTTTCCTCTTAAGCTATACCCTGAAGAAATTTAAGATTGCCTGCAGAGAGGTAGTGCAACACTCTTGGGTAGACTGTGTTGTTACATTTATACTATCGCAAATAATCTGCTGCCCCCTTTTGACAGTAGAAAGTATGACCGCATTCTTATCTATTAATGGTCTGTGCTACTCTGTGCGACACTGTGTTACTTGAATCCTCTATCAATCTATCAATTTAGGTGACACCACTTTTCTATCAGTTTTTTGTGCATATTTTTGGATTGTGATCTGCCGGCACAGTACTCAGAGTAAAGAAAACAGTAACTCTATGAAGTATGTTGGGCCTTTGCTCTTCTTAATATATTCAAAGAGGATTCAGAAAGTCTGCTACATGAGGTAATAAAATCATTGTTTTTTAAATGAGGAGCACAATGTAAAATATAAACAGAAAAATACTTTTGTTCTATTCCCTTTTGAAATGATCTTATGCTCTTCCAATGTTGAATTAGAGGCACTGAACCTTCACTGCATAAGACCTAAAACACTCCTCAGCCTTTTCTCCATGTCTTTGACAGTAACCTCTCGACAGCCATAATTCATAGAGACAGTTTCCGATGATGCTTTAGTGAAAAGTGGATATATCAGCTGAACAGACAGATAAATAACTTAGTCTCATGTCAGTTAAAAAAAAAACAGTTTTATAAAGATAGAACTCTCAGCTCCTAATCCTTTGCTTTGCTGTTTGTACGTCTTCTGTAATTACCTTGCTAGTACAAAAATGTAATGTTTTTAAGACGTATCCTTTCAACTTTATGAATCATCATTTAATAAATACATCTTTAAAAATTGCATTTAGTGTCTTTACAACAGAATACCGGTTACAAAGTGATACCATGTTTCTTGAAAGCAACATCAACTAAACTTAAGGCTTTTTCCCCCATAATTCTGTATTACTCATTTTATTTAATGGACATAAATGATCAAAGTATAAATACGCCACATTAATGATGTCCTTAATCACCAAAACCTCACACAGAACAAAAAAAGTACATTAGAAAAATATAGTTATGTCACCAGTTACTGACAATATACTTACATCACAGCACTGCTGATTTCATACGAGAGAAATACTGTCAAGATAAGTCCCCTCCGATTCTTTAAGCGGTGCTTCACACGTCTTTGTCACAACAAGTGTAACAGGCTTATGTCTGTAAAATGTCCGCAGCGCGAAATGTGCTGAACTATTTTAACTATATCACAAGGTTCCCAGTGACATGGAGGTAAGAGGAAAGTTATGTGTAGGAGGTGACTGATAATTTATCGCCCAATTCGAGGAGTTACAACCCGGCCTGAGCAACACCGGAAGTATCAAACGGTTCTCTGTCTTGGACTCAGCACAAAAGATCCCGCCCACTTTTTCCTCTGACCAATTAACAGCGTCGACCAAGCATCTTCTGGGGCTGCCAGAGTTAGCGGGAAACCGGCGGCTGTTCGGCTAAAACGGACAGTAATTAGACCTTAAAGAATTACTTGTTTTCTTTTTGTTAAAGCAACATTTTATGTTATCAGTCGATGCTAAGTCGTTGTGGCCACATATGCTACAGTGACAAGCCTTAAACTTCTCGACTTTTCACGACTGCGCCTCTGGCCCTGACGCTAACATCTGACGTTAGCTGGATTATCACGCTGGCTAACAGAGACATTGTGCTTCATGCGGCTAGGCACAAGAGGAAAAAATACTGCAGAGACAAAGGGCTGTGGTTGTCAGTCATCAGAAGAGACGTGCTGAAATGAGTCTGTTCAATTTAGACCGATTTCGTTTTGAGAAAAAGACTGCGGACAAAGACCAGGTGTGCGGGTCCAAAAGTCCAGAGTCTGAAAAGGAGAACAAGCCAGGTAAGAAACACAATGCTAGCTCGGTTTGCTGTTAGCAAGATGTATCAGACCTGCTATGTCAGAGTACACAATAACGTTGTGTAGGAATTGTAAAAAATCCCAATTTGTTGACATATTGCCAGTCCAATCGGCGTCGTTTTTAGCCAATCAGTAAGTGACAGAAAACCATATGATGAGATCTACAATCTGTATATGGCAGCTCTATTGTTCGGGAGGACGGGTCTTGCTACCTTTCAGATTACAATTTGACTCCCTTAATGTCCAATTTTCGCAATCTAGGCTACCAAGTAAATGACTGCCATTGTGATTTCTTCTAACAGCATGGACAGTGACAGGTCGACTCTTTACCAGACATTAAATGTGCATGGCTTCAGATATCACAATTTACTTTGTATGTACGCTAAACAAATTGATAATTGTTTAAGACTGTGTGTGTGTGAGGAATTTTCATAGTTATGACTGACAGGAATGTATCTGCCAATGTGTGTTGCAGCCAAGATGAAACCAGTCAAAGCGTCAAACAAGTCGCATGCAAGAGGAGTGGTTTTTGAGGAAGCCACATCTGTGGACTTGGAAGAAGATGAGGTCTTATCGGAACCAAAGACAAAATTATTATTAACCAAGAAATCTCAGTAAGTGTTCATCTGTAGCCTCTCACTCATCCATTTTAATATCAATCCCTGTGGCATGTTTTGAAGAACTTCGGCATTGTGTGCAATATTTAATGTCAAAGTTTTCTTTATGTACATACTGATTAATGTTTTCTGACAGAAATTATCTTATTTTTCTTTAGCTCCCTAAAAAAGGCACCGAAAGATGATACAGATGAGGACAACAAGTTGGATGAGAAAATTAACAGACTGCTGGAGATGTTTCCCCAACTGTCAAGGACTCAGCTACTGGAGGTGGGTCGAGAAACATTAGACGGTGTCATCTTGTAGTATGGAAGGAACTGAGTTGCTTCCGAATATGCCGCAGGCCAGTTTTTAAAATGTTTTATTACTGGACGTGTAAGACATGTAAGCTGAATGTGTTGCTGTGGTAAACATTTCATTTGCCCACCATCCAGATGGACAATGTTTGATAGAGACAGCCCATTTTCAACTATTGGTTTTGTCCTGTTGAAAAGCATCTCCTTCTGCTTTGTTCCCAGGTCACTGGAAATACAAGTACTTTGGATGGGGCTGTAGCTGCCTGTCTTCTAAGTTTTGGTGATAAAGAAGGTAAATATTGTTTTGTTTTTTTCCTGCTTCATAGCAGCCCTACAAATTTGTCTAAAATCCCTGTGTTGTATTCTACCAGAAATTAAAGGTTCATAAGTCCCCTTTTTTTGTTTTTCAATGTAAAAAAAAAAAAAGATAATTTCAAACATGGAAATATACCTTCATTAAAAGCAGGGACTTAAACATTGTGTATGGCCAAGGGCTTTTTTCTTTATCATGCCTTTCACCCAGAATACAATCTGTTTTTGTCCACTCAGCTCCAAGTCAAGGCCAGAAGAGAAAACAGGATGGATCGTGTTCTTCTCAGGACAAGGGTGAGATTCAGCTGAGCAAGAAGCAGAGGACATCAGTGGTAAGACCATTATTGCTTCTGTGGTTGTCTGAAATGACATTAATATTTTGCTTTTCTGGCATTGATAAGTTATCTGCTTCTTGCTTCAACTGAAAGGTCTCTGAAGAAGAAGATGAGGGCAAAGAGCCTAGCTGGGAGAAACAAGAGGCCATGGTCAGAAAACTTCAAAAAAGGTTTCCCGATCAGGACAAAGAGGTGGAGAAGTTATATGCAGGGTGTCTAATGGGATATGTCTATCGTATGGGATCCTTTCGTTTAGTCTTTTATACCAAAGTGACTCTGGTCCTTGTTAGTACGACACAATTTCTGTCTCTTACTTGTGTTTTCACATTACTGAATATAATAATTTATAATAATGTATATATATATACTGAAAACACATTTGGCTCTTTTTGCATATCATTTAGTTGTGTAATTTTTTTTTAGGAATATTTGATAATAAAAGTAAATCATATATCCATATCATATCATCTTGATATTATCTATAAACCAAGTAAGGTTGTTGTAAGGGGCTCAACTTGTGTGGCAGATTTAGTGTATTTTTTTAAATAATATCTGAATAATTTTCATGAGCATTTCCATTTGCTCTAGCTATGTATTAGAATTCCAGAAGTGAAATAAAGACAACTGGATGGAGAAGAAGGCAGCACTTGGCTGTATTGTGGAACTGGAGAATGATGTGTTCCTGATGCTGATCTGCTGTGTTTGGTGCAGGAGCTTCGGATGGTGCTGCAGGAGCATGACTGGAATGTTGAAGATGCTCTGCAGGTTCTGCAGATGTTCTCAGACACAGGTGCAGACACAACCTCTTATAAGAATGTGGCTCCCTTTACCACCCACTCTCATTTGCATATATTCATGCTTGTAGAGATGATTTCCTTATGCAGGCTTTTCTTCTTCTTTTGTTAATGTTAATTTTTTATTTTTTATTTTATCAGACAATACAAGTTTTGAATCATCAGATGAAAATAAATTGAAGAGCAAGTCATCCAGAAATGATGAAGAGGTCAACCACAAACATAATGATGGTGGCACTAAGGGGACAGATCGTAAGGATTCAGAAAAGCAGGAAAGTAGTAGTGACTCGGATGCAACATTGGACAGTGAAGATGAACCAGAACCAGACGGAAGCCAAATTTCCAAAGTTAAAGGTTGCACTTTCACTCTTTCTTCGTGGATTACAAAAAACACTGGTCCAGTGCCTTCATCATCTTCTGAGAAGCTGGCCTCTACCTCTACCTCCCAGAAACCAGCCTCTTCCTCCTCAGTCTCCCAGACCTTGTCCAGATTTTCCAGTGAGACCAGTAAAGCCCAGAAGCTGGCAGCGGAGAGAAAAATGAAGGCACGGGCCTCAGCTCAACCCGTCAGCTCTGAGGAGGAAAATGATGACGAAGAGGACGCCGTTTCAACAGACTTTGAGGATTCAGATGATGAGCTAGAAGATGAAGATGCCATGACGGGTGCAAAAAAGGAGATGCTGGGTTTCTTCCAGGATGCATCTATAGATGAGCTGTCACTGATCTCTGGATGTTCTGTGAAAAAGGCACAGAAGATCGTGGAACTGAGACCTTTTGAAAGCTGGTCAAGCCTGGTGAGAGAACACATGTTTGCTTTTGATATTGTTATATGATGTTGAATAGAATAGTTTGTTCAAACTGTGAAATAAAAAAAATCTGTGACAGCAAAAACTGAAGCTGGTTGCAAAACAAAATTATGAAAAGAAATGAAACGCTCAACTCTCTGATGTGTGTCTTTTAACGTCCTTCCTCAGTGGGAAGTCTTCCATAAGGAAAATGGACTTTCAAAAGACTTGCTGATAGGATGCAAAGTTGTTCTCAAGGAGCGGAAGGTTGTCCTGGGTTTAATGTCCAAATGTGAAACTATTTCTTCAAAAATGGTCAAACGGGTCACTGGGGTGATGGAGAGTGGAACAGGTTTCACAAAACAGCCCAGTTTACTCAACAGCCAGTGAGTAAAATGACTTTCTACACACAGTAATCATACTGCAACTTTTTTTCCGGAGGTTTCAGATCACACAAAGCACAGTCAGATTCTAACTTTGGGTTTCTGTAAAAATTCAACTTTGCCTTTTTATTGAATGTTGACAGAGTAAAGATTTCTAATGATAATTACATTTTTTTATTTTTTATTATATATATATATATATATATATATATATAAGAAGAGTCATGTTTCCAGGCATAAAGTATAAATGTATTCCCACTTTATTTAATTGACATTAATTCCTGTCCATGTCCTTACTTTCAGGTTTGAGCTTAAGCCCTATCAGCTTATTGGTCTAAAGTGGCTGATGCTTCTACACGAACACAAACTGAGCGGTATCCTCGCAGATGAAATGGTAAAACTCCAGATAAAGACCTATGGAATTAGACATGGGGCACTACAATGTTTTTCTTTTTTTTTTGCTTGTCTGTATTCTTACAGCTGGCATTCACAATTAGTTTTTGTTTGTTCATTACTTTATGAACATATATCTGTGATGTGTCTTCTTCACCTGTGCTTTTCTTTTGTTCACTTGTTTTTCAGGGATTGGGGAAAACTATCCAGGCCATAGCTTTTCTGGCCCAGCTTTATGAGAACGGAATAGATGGCCCACACCTCATTGTCGTTCCTTCCTCTACACTTGGTAATCATCTTCAAAACGAATATACTAAGCCAGTAAGGTTTAATATAATGCCTTCTTGATGTAATTTCTGTTTTCATCTCCTATACTGTAGATAACTGGGTTAGAGAGCTGAAATTGTGGTGTCCAAGCCTCAATGTGCTTATTTATTATGGTAAGACTCTGTTATTTCATTTTCAGAGAACAGAAAGTATCTCACAGTATCTTTCACATGTGAACCTTTTATACTGTCCTGATGTTATTAAGTGTTTCCTGCGAAAATCAACTCTTACAAAATGCCAGAATGGTTTATCATCGTAATTATTGCTGTTGATTAGACCACTACATCAGATCTGCTCCAAGTGTCAAATTGAAATATGTTTTGTTTTTAAAAATCATTAACATGACTCCTCTTTTATGTAGGATCTGTGGAAGAACGCCGTTACCTCAAGTATGAAATCCTCAATAGGGATGTTGAGTTCAACGTCATTGTGACTACGTAAGCCAGCACACACTCTTAACCCCGCTCAGATTTTGCTGATTAATACAATAAGTACGATAAGTGCTCCACTGTGTTGTTGAGGTCAAGTGGTCAGAAAAGGTCTCGTTAAAGCATGGTTTTTGGTTTATTTACAGGTATAACTTGGCAATAGGCAACGACAGTGACCGCAGCCTTTTTCGGAAACTTCCTCTGAAGTATGCCATATTCGATGAAGGCCATATGCTGAAGAACATGAACTCTCTCCGCTATCGCCACCTCATGTCTATTAATGTTAGTTCAATCTTGTATTCCACCACCCCACCCCACAGTTATCTCATTTCACTGTTTCCTACCTTAGAATGTCTCAGACTTGTCCCTTAGATGTATTGCAGAGATCAGTTAAGGATGTCTCTGATTTTCTTCCCCTGCAGGCAGAACATCGCCTGCTGCTGACTGGAACTCCTTTGCAGAACAATCTTCTGGAGCTGATGTCTCTCTTGAACTTCATTATGCCCTCTATGTTTTCCAGCTCCACAACGCAGCTCTCTAAAATGTTCTCTATGGTAGGATTCCTTGGACAACTGTGATTCCATGACCTCATGGCTGGATCAAAGAACTGTATGAAAATGACCTAAATGCTTTTAGCATTAGAGTTCAGCAGAGGGCACTCTGACATTAGCTTGTTCTCTAATGTACTCAGCTGATATCTCAGTACTTACACAATTCTAAGAGGAAATGTTGGAAAGTATTTGGCCACTGATAATTTTACATCATGACTCACCCCCTTTTTTTTTTAAACTCACACGACATCTGATGTCGTGATTGGCCTCAAAGCACCACAAACAATAATATGTAAAGATGTTTATACAAAAACACACAGATATCCCAAGAAACTGTAATAAAATACCATTGTATTAAATTGTTGTGTACTATATGTATCTAACCAAAATGTTTAACTTGTGTGCAGAAATCCTATGAAGAACAAAGCCGTTATGAGAAGGATCGCATTTCTCAGGCCAAACTCATTATGAAACCTTTTATCCTGCGCAGACTCAAAAGTGAGGTGAGCTAATCTGGAGATCAGACGAATAGTAATACCTGTAATGCCTGTTGAAATAGTTTTTTCTTTTTTTTTTTTGCAACAAGCAATGGTCAAGCTATGTAATTCATTTAAACAATTGATTGCCAGTTCAATGAAAAATCAAGTCTTGAACAAAACTGTTGAGGCAACCTTGATACTTATACCTGATAATTAAACATGATTTAATTATCATTAGCTTGAGTTAAATTTAAATGGTAAATAACTGATGTTTTCTTTATTTCAGGTTCTTAAGCAGCTGCCAGCAAAAGAAGAGAAGACGGAGTTCTGCTCTATGAGTGAGAAGCAGCAGGTTCTCTACAAGAGCCTCTTTAAAAAGCTAAAGGCTTCCACCAATGGAGAGAGTAAGTCAAACTGAAGTCACCCTTGTCAGATGTCAGTCTTATTTTTAGCATGAATTCATGCCAATATGCCTCCATTTTGTCTTCAGAGCGCGAGTTGTGTAATGTGATGATGCAGCTGAGGAAAATGGCCAACCATCCCCTGCTTCACAGGCAGTACTACACCACAGAAAAGCTCAAAGCCATGAGCAAACTCATGCTCAAGGTGCGTGCTGCTTCCTCACACGCATGCCTTCTCTTTCAGGTTTAGCCTTTCTGAATCGTAACAGAATGTGAAGAGGTTTTTCATACTTGTGCACAAATTTCTGATTGGCTCTTGAGAGATGGACGTGAAATTAGTTTTCAGTCTTACTGAATAGGCATCATGGGGAAGGCAAACTGAGCGCTGAAAATAGTTTTTTTTTTGCCTTCATGTCTGCTCCACCATAAAAGGAGATAAAGAAGTACATTTTATTTTCATTTTATTTATAACAGTAAGATGTTATCACATCCCTCATTTCACTTCTGCTTTCTCTGCCCTTGTGACACTGGTTGTCATCATTGAATCTCTCTTGCCCCCCCAATTTAGGAGCCAACACACTTTGACGCAGTGCCCGCTCTGATTCAGGAGGACATGGAGGTCATGTCTGACTTTGAGCTTCACCGCCTGTGTCAGCAGTACTCCTCCATCAGCTCCTACCAGCTCGGTAATGAGGTCCTGCTGGACTCTGGGAAGTTCCTCCACCTCACAGAGCTGCTGGCGTCCCTAAAAAACAAGGTCACTACGAAAGTAGAAAAATTGTTCCTGTGCTTTATCCTGATGCACAGGAGGTTTCTAACGTTCCTCTCATTCTTCAGGGAGACCGAGTGGTGTTATTCAGCCAGTTCACCATGATGCTGGACATCGTGGAGGTGCTGCTGAAGCATCTCAAGCACCGCTATGTGAGGCTGGACGGGTCCACGCCCATAGCCGACAGGTCAGATTCATCTCTGCCAATAAAACGGGGATGTAAAGTGCAGCCGATAAAAAGTAATTGATAAACATGAACATTTTCTACGGTCATTCTGACCTCACACATCATTATCAATCTTTTGATGATCTAAGGTGTGGATTTTAGGCTACAGCATCCTTTTTATGCTGGTGTTAGCTGTGAAGTCGTAGCTTACACAGTGAGTTCAGGAGCAGGATGGAGGCTACGCGTGCTGATCAGCTTCCAGCCACATGCAATGTCTGCAATGATTTCTTTGCCTTCCAGGATTGTGTTGATAGATGAGTACAACACAGACCCCGAAATATTTGTGTTCCTGTTATCAACGCGTGCCGGTGGGCTCGGCATCAACCTTACCTCAGCAAACGTCGTTATCCTTCACGACATCGACTGCAATCCTTACAACGACAAACAGGCAGAGGACAGATGCCACCGGGTTGGCCAGACAAGGTTAGATGGGAATCCCACTGAATAGTTTGATCAGATATCTTTATCTTATCTGGCCTTGTTATTGGAAATCTTTATGTCAACAGTTAAGAAGAAAAGACGTCTTTTTTTTTTTGTCTTTTTTTTTCCTTTTTTTTTTTTCGTCTGCTGTAAGCATGAAGTGTGTAAAGAGATTCAAATCTCAGTGTAGTTGATTCAGCAAGAAGAACGTAGAAAGTTTGCTGTGTTGAAGGTGCAGCTGCTCTGCTGGTTTAGTGTAAGCACTAATGATTCTCATTGTGTGTCCCAGGACTGTACAGGTGATTAAACTCATCAGTAAGGACAGCATAGAGGACTGCATCCTTCAGCTGAGCCACAAGAAACTGAAACTGGAGCAGGACATGACTGCAGCTGATCAGAGTAAGAGTTGTTTAAACAATGTGCTTCAACCTTTGCTGTCTTTCTTTGCATTATATCTAATGGATACACTGAGGGAATTAGTATTGGCCTTTAAAACAACCTTAGAAATGTCAAATTTTGTAGAACCTGTATGAGACAAAGGAATTTTATATGGTAGCTGGTTATCGATAACATATTCAAAGCTGTTGAGACGATACGTCACTTATTTGTTAATGAATTGTTCTCTAGGTGGTGAGGGGACCATACCTGAAGATATGGCATCTTTGCTCAAAGCCTCACTGGGACTGTGATACATAAACCCATCCAGCTTGAAAGTGAACTCATGTATTTTAAGGCACCCTTGAGGTTCTGGATAGACTTGAGAGTTCTAAGTGGATACACATGTTTGTGTCTAAACTAGAGGACTACTGCAAACCATATACTGCCATGGGGAAAACTAGCATGGTAGCTGTGCCTAAAACCCTTTTGTCATATTTTTATTTTAACAAGCACACAGTTTTTGAACACGAGCCGAGTCGGTGTATTATAGCTAAAGAAAAAGCATTGCCTTCTAAAGGCTATGTGAAGTTCATGAACTGCAGGAACAGAAACCGTTAAAGCGGTATGTGCTAAATTCGCATAACCAGTACAGATTTCTGTTTTCACACTGATAAGATGGCACTCTGAAATTTAGGCAATATTTTCTTGACAGAACAGTACTTGCAAGCTCTTTGTTTAGCATCTTTTGTCATTCCTTCCAATTATTAAAAAAAGTGTTCACATTTTTCTTACCTCTGTCAGCCACTGGCGCATACTAGGTTGGAGAAATAAATTATATATTGGATTTCGGTCCTTTTATTTCAATTGGAATTTATCATTGAAGACACGTAGTTTGTTTTTGTGTCAGTGTTCCCTTTAAATTGTTGAGTAAAATGTGACTTAATGAATACTTTATAAGTAGAGCGGTGCTTGAATTTTTTTTGTTGTTTTTTTTGGCCATTAATACTCCTTGAGATATCTGAAGTGAGTGGACAGAGTATTTGAGAGCAGCTGTTGCATTTGATATAGTGAAAAAGTGACCAATGTGGTGTAAATGTTCCAGTGTTACTGTAAAAGTTTTTACAAAGTCCTTTGTATGTTTTTTTTTCAGGTTCATGTTTGAACTAAATAATAAAAAATTGGAATAGATATTTGTGTCATGCCTCGATCAGGTGATGCTGCTAATAAGAGATCTTTTCAATTGAATTTTCATTTATAATTCATACATTGAAATTATTTTAGTCTTCAAAAGCGTTAAGAATTTACAATGCCATTAAGAAGGGGGCAAAAAGTCAATCCAGAGACCTTTTTAAAGGTCTGAAAACGCTGATTAACTTTTCTTCACTGTGTCCATCAGTCCCACAGGGCTAGGGTTAGGGTTGCTAAGGCCCTCCGTAATCAAAGCCAGAAGAAAGAAATTCACGTCAAATTCTTTTTCTCTTTTTTTCCCCTTGAGAAATCTTTTTTTTAAGTATTTTATTATTCTTGCAGCTGTTCTACATCCCAGCTTAAACAAGTACAGATGTTTATCTATTATCAGAATAGCTCATGACAAAGGATATAGAATGAACTGCAGATTTGTAGAAATTTATTTATGTACACTACGAACAAAGAATTCACAAAGATATGGGTATGGGTTCAAGAGGACCTGCTACGAGATGTTTACACAGCTGAAAGTTTCAGTTATCTTAAATGGTATTCAAGAGGTGGAAAAGAAACTTTTTCCTACAATACTACAAAGGGGATTGTTCCAAGTACAAATCAGGGACGCCCGAAACTACACTTTCTGTATTTAAAAAAAATAAATAAATAAGACTACTCAGCGTTTGGGGAGTATCGTCCACACCTAAAACCTGTCAAATGAGCATCACATGTAATGGCATATGTGAAATACAGAACTCCTTTGCGGAGCTTGCAGCTTAGAGAATGTGTTCCTCTCTCGGGAAAGACGACGCATCTCCCTGCCATGTCGTTATAAAGCACATCCCTATCCCACACTTCAAAACTCATCTCCTGACCCAGCTCCACTGAGCCAAAATTGAACGTTGCGTTCCACACCGGGTCGTTGTTATCCATCACCGTGGCTGTCTCCTCATATATGCCGCCGTAGAAAATCTTCACGTAGGCATCGGTTTTTGTGAAGGTGTCGGCCCTCAGCCCGGCGGCTCTGTGGATCTGCAGTCGCAGAGTTCCTCTGCCAGCCCTCAAAGGACAGCAGTTATGGTCCAGGTTAGGAGTCGGGGAGCAGTTCTTAAGGCCGAGATGGTCCTCCTGTAGCTGGTTCTCTTTGATGTATTCCGTGACGGAGCTTCTCAGGTTGGCGCTGATCTGAGGGTCCTCCACCAAATGATGCAGAGGGAAGATGCCATATGAAACCACATCGGGGTTGTTGTGAAGGCTGTTCAACCAGCTCCGGTATGCCTCAGAGGGGTCGTCCTGGTAGAGTATGTCTGGGAAGTACTTCTCTCCTCCGATGACCTCGATCTTATGCGTCATAAAGCCCTGGTAGAAGCCCATGCTCATGTTGCCTTTCAGGAGGTTGTCACACTTGTTGGAGAAGGACGCGTTGGCAGGTAGGAATCCCAGAGCCATCCGGAGTTCAAGATTCAGGCAGTTCTTTATCTCTGACTCTGAGAAGCCCTTCAGAGTGGCCAGGCAGGTTCTGAAAGCTGTGATTCGCCTGACCTTACCTCCAAGTTGGACCTGTAGAAGATAAAGGTGGAGAGAAGAAGAGAAAAATGACTATGTAGTGCCAAAAGAAGAAATGTTTCAACACCTGCTACAGTATAACAAGCTCACAACGGAGCTTTTCCCTGACCTGATGAATATAATGGGTTCCATAGGTGTCTATGAGTCGCCTGTACAGGGCTCTGTCCTGGGCTGTGCCTAAACTCTGTGGGAGTTTCTTCAGATGCTTTGTGAACTCTGTACTCAGCTGGGGATGATCGGCCAGCCTGTAGCTACAAAAAAACAAAAGGCATGAAGGGGTCACTATAAATTATTTTTATGTAACAAAGACCAGGAACAGCTGTGAACCAAGATACATATGTTGCAAAGTGTGTGTGTGTGTGTAGACTGTGAGATCCTGTGGAGAACAGCTTTTGGTTTTTACACTTTGTTATCTGGGAATTCCGTCAAAACGAAGTCCTTGCTGCAAAATGAATCCTCAAGTTAAAAATTTCTGAAAACACATCTTATGAAGTGAGATGTGTTAAGAATTTCCAGCTCTTTTCAGCTGTGGAACTGTGTAAAAAATAAATATCTAAATAAAGACAACATGTGAGGATGATCATACATTTGTTTTTAGTGTTTTTTTTTAACCCAGATTTAACAACTCCTTTTACCTGTAGTAGGTGCAACTGATTTCATGAATGGCAAAAGTGGCTTTGTCCACACTGTGCTGGGAACGGGCGAACTTGGCCAAATCCGAGCGGCTTCCTCCCAGCACTGCCTGGCCGGTGTTCTCCAGGCTCAGACCCAGACCCCAGTTGTTGTTAACCAGCGAGCTGGAGCTGCGCAGCAGGGAGTCCACGGAGTGGTGCAGCGCGCTGGACAGCTGCTTACTGCAGCGACTGAAGGGACGCCAGTCCAGCACAGCGGCTGGAAGCCTCTGGATCTGCGAGCGAGAGGAGAGATGGGATGTTGAGTCTGATCCAGGCTGTGGGAAGAAAATGGTTAAAGGAAGCGTGGAATGTCAGGGGGGCCGCAGAGCAGGAAGAGGGGAGCACAAAAAAATAACTTTGGCTCTTTGGACTGAATAATTAAAAGGGCCGTTCGACCATGTTATAGATAAAACTTTTAAAAGTTAAACAGCTCAAGGAGTGAGTTCTGAAGTTTTTTACCTCTCCTTTTTGGAAGCGGTTTGGGCACAGGGTACAGGTGCGGTTGTCTGCCAGATGAGCTTTAACGTTGATGACATATGCTCCCGTTCGACGTAAGCGCACCACATCGAAGCCCTCCCCTGCCAGGTTGTGTCCTGGGACAAAAGGAGCCTTTTCACACTCTGATCCCGTGCCCAGCTGACAGCTCTGGACTTTGATGGCCTCCAACGTAACTGACAAGGCCAAAACAAACAGTACCTTTCTCCAACCGTAACATTCCTGCATGGTTAACCTACATTTAACAGAAGAAGGGGTCAGAAGGAAACATTGTTGTAACACTGAGATTTCAATTGACAGCATTAATCCTGCCACAGACATTATCGTATTGCTGAAAACGTGCACAGAAAGACAATCTTACCTTAGAATGGCTTTTTTTCGTCTGTCTGCGTGACTGACTGCTCTCTCAGAATAGTCTTAGGAGTAAACTGCTTCGCTTTCTTTTAAGTCTTGCTCTTTTCTGTCCTCATCGACGGCACCGCGGACTGTAAGTGGTGAATTGCAAACTGAAAAGTCTTGATCCTCCTCGGTTTGTAGACTCTGGCCGCAGGCAGGCTTTGCTGAAAGCCTGCTGGGTGCACTCTCTGGTCAGTCCTCCTCCCTTTGAAAAGGAGGGAGTTTCCCTGTTTTGGAGCTTTGTGTGTACAGCACTCTCGCTATTTCACTCTCCGTCCCTCTCCCCTGAAGGCCAAAAGCAATTTCCTCAGCATGAGTGGTTTTGTTGTCATGCTGGAGACCCAGTTCTGTAAATCCCTATGCAGTATATGTGTCTGCACGTGCATGTGTGGGGGAGGGAGATTAATGTGTTGTCACGAGACAGAAAAGACACTGGTGTGAGCACTCTTTGCGGGAAATGTGGGTCTGAGTGTTTTCAGTGTGTGTCTGTTGGGCAGGATGCTTCTTTCTGTTTATATAAATGTCTGAGCAGGCCCGTCTGTGTTCCGATAGCATCACCAAAACCATGAGGTCGGCTTTTCCAGTGTCTATTTGTGGATGCAGATGGAAAGTAGGTGGTTTTCTGGGTGAGGTCGAGGGAAGATGAAAGTACACTCCGTGCAAAAGGTTTCCTTTAACGTGGATCTTGGCTTTTGTCATTAAATACCAAGAATGCGACTCTGCTTTTAGCATTGTTGTAACATTGTTTCAAAAGTCATACGCACTTCATGGTGCAGGTAGCCTTTAGCTGCATCTTTTACATATTAACCAACTTCACAATGTAGAAAGCTACTGTTGCACAAGGTCTGGGAGACTACTCAGAAAGGGAGAAAGCCTCCTCTGTAAAGTGAAAAAATAGGGAGAGACACAAGCATGCTTGTTGGGTCTTTACAAAAAATACTAAAACAAACTTCTCTGAGATGTGCCTTAATATATATGTGTGATTATTGAGAGAGAGAGAGTGAGAGAGAGAGATCCTCATACAAAAGGTAATATACAAATATATTAGATTTTTTCATTTTTATTAATTAAACATGGAATATATTCATATACATTTTACTGTATATCTCTTTCAACTAAAAGTCTTATGCAAAGACATTTTAATGAAGCTGTGCAAAACACACAAATATTTACAGTATTGGCAGTACAGGTTTGAAAATTACACGTCCAAAAGAGAGATGGCACATAATAGAATTTGTCCCTCCTTAGCTACATCCAGCATGATATTGTTTAAAATCTTTGAGCATATAAATGCATACAAATGCTACATATTCTGTTTCCAAACATAAGCTTTACAGTAGGTGAAAAAACATCTGTCTGAAGAATGATCAATTCTAGGATCAACAAGAAAGCTGAAAGCTAAATCTCTCGTATCTCGTATTCAGGTACCCGGCTGTCTCATTTTCAAGCCTCATCTTGGCCCGTCTCTCTTTCAGAGTCTTCACGTATTTCTTGATAGCCTCTAGCTGTCCTAAATCCAGAAAACCTCCTCCTCCTCTTCACCAACACTACCACTATGACCACCAGTAGCACCAAAGCCATCACACCAAACGCCACCCCCGCTTTTTCCCCACCGGATAACTGATTCATGTCTGGGTTAAGATTGCGAACTATTTCCCGGATTTCTTCTGGTTTGGCAATTCTCCACGCTTTAGTCTTGCCCACTCTGACCCAGCTCTGCTCTCCCTCCGTCATCACCATCACCGTGTTGGTCACTTGCATGTTGACAAGCGGTGGTTTGACAAAGGGAGGGAGATGGATTGGCAGCAGCTGCCCACCTGTGAACAGTCCCGACTGGACACAGTAAAGGATTTCACAGCCGTCGCTGACCGTCGCCAGGTGCTGGCTGAACTTGGGAGGACACCTGTTCTGGTTCTTGGCCAGTGGGTTTGTCGCCTCACAGCTGAAGAGGCCTCCGAACGGTACCGAGTACCTGGTGCCGATTTCATAATCGGTGCTTACGCAAATCATTTGGCCATCCGAGAGGAACTTCACCGGCGTGAAGCTCGGTGGGCAGCTTTTGGCTTTCGTGAGGGGATTCAGCGAGGACGGGCTGTAAATGCCTCCGAACAGATACCCCGAGTTGTCCGGCGCTTTGCCGTTCACAGAGCACCAGTAGGTTCTGATGCGAGCGGAGCGAACGTGGTAGTTGTCCTGACACCGCTCTGAGTGACAAGTAAAAAATAAGTAACAGGAGTGGCTTTCCCTGTAGCAGTCGTACGTGGTGTAGCCCTGCTGTCTCACTTCTGATCGCAGTAAGGTCGGAGAGAACGGTGCGCGGCAGGAAAAGTCTCCTGTGTTGAGGTTTTTCTGGGCCAGGGTGTCGCAGATCGGACCGGCATCCGTCGTGAGTTTCTCGCAGGTTTGGTAGACGCCCCCAAAACTGAGGTTTGTGGCCGGGCCCTCACAGGAGCTGTCGTCCACATTGGCCTGGAAGTTGAAGTTCTTGGAGCTGGCGTCGACACACCCGGGCCGGGTGTTGATCTTGTAGTACCTCTCTATGGCCAGACTCACTGCATGAGCCGCTTTTCCGACGGTGGGCTGGGGCACGTCGGGGAAAGTCTTGGGGTTTATGACATAGTGGAGGGGGAATCCTGAACGGTCGATGGCCACCAGGTTGTTTCTGGTGCTTTCTTGCCACTTCTGCAGGCTGATGCCGGGATAAAAGGGGATGCCACCGTGGCTCTGAATGATGGAGTACTGAATGTTGGACTGGTAGGTATGAAGTGACGAGCTCTGCTGAGTATTTTGGCTGCTTATGTCGAACTTGAGTTTGTCAAAAAAGTTTAATCCAGCCATGGCTTTAACAGTGGAAGTGTCTGATGCACTGTCGGACACGTATGCCGAACGGAGGTAGTCCTCCTGTGCCAGAGAGGCGCCGGCGTCCACACTTGTTATCACGTGAGTTCCATAGTCCAACACTATCTTCTCTGACAGGTAATCGGCATTCCGCGTCTGGTTGTTTTCAATGGCATCCGCTACGTCTTTGACTTGCTCCACAAAGCGTGAATCCAAGATGAAGTCTGGGTAAGCCTTAACGGTGTAGATGAAGTTTCTGACCTTTTCGAAGGAAAGGATTATATCATTAAATGTTGGAGTTATTTTAGTTTAACCAATAAATCAATATTTGATTATTATTCTCTATTTTCATTTAAAAATTAACTATTACCTTTTATAAAAGCATGTATAGATTTTTAATTTCCATATTAAACAAGCCAAGAAAGAGAGAGACTTTTTACTCATGGACATATATTTCTCTTTTTTTTTAAATAATGACCAAACATCTCCATGATCAGTTTACATAAAAACTAAATAGAAAAAAAAAAGAGAAAAACTTACTTGCACTCTGGCTGTAGTTGAAGAGTCTTTGATCTGATGGGTTTTCATCCTCATGTTCTCAGAAGAAAATTTAGCATTCAGCACGTTGAGAAAAGAGATGTCACTGTTAATGGTATGAGACGTAGAGCTTTTCTGCTCCAGCCAGGTGCTGATTATGTCTGAGCTGGTCTCCACGCCTGTCTCCTTTTGAGGGATAACAAAGACCTCATCTGGGATGAGGTAGAGCCCATCCTCGGTAGTCTGGCACTGGAAGTAGCTGAGGTTCATGACTCGACCCATATCCATGTTCCGCAGATTGTCCCAGCCTCCGCCCGGCAGCACCTCCAGAGCTGTGATGGAGAGGTTGGTGGAGGCTCGACATTGTCTCAGCCAGTTGGTTGGACGCCGCACAGGCACTGAAAAACAGACATTTAGGAAAAGGAGAGCCGGGAGTATCAGCTCTGTCTTCATGATGGCTCTGTCAAAAACAAAGACCGGTGCAACTGAAACTTAAGTTAAAGTTTTGTCCTGCCTCCACTTTAGCCAGCCACCAATGACAAAGCAGAACAGCTTAAAACGGAAAGTACAGGGGAATTTTTATTTTATTTTTTTTTATATCAGTTTCATTTCTGCTTTTGTGTTGGCTTCAGATTGCATACCACTGATAAAGTCCTCATTATGTGTCAAACTATTTATTCTCAGTCCTGTTCCATTAATTTTGATAGCTAAAGTCAAATGACTATGACTGATGACTGATAATGATGACCATGACACTGTTTGCCCATTCACTTATACAGATTTATACAATCTAATTATTTAATAGTGTTTTTGACGTTGTCATAGCTTACGTCTGGCTGAAACATTGTACCTTGCATGGTTACAACTAGCACACTAACAGGCACAGTAATGAGCAAAACAAATCAGAAACACATTTACTCTGTAGAACCAACTAAAAGGCACTCCCTGTTAATATAAGAATAAAAGAGACTTGGAGTTTCCCTAAGAGAGGATAGATCAAAACAACAGGAGGTGAAATAAAGCACTGAGATAAACTCGGAAGATAACTGGTGATAAATGATTTATTGTTCCTCCCTAAAAGGGAACAGAAACCAGATCAGTAAACAAAAATCTCACAGGTATGAGGAACTAGCTGAAGCAGAACACATCACATGAGTGGAGGCCACTGTGAGTCATCGCCAACTGTTCAAGCCTGCACTTGCATGTCGCCCAATAATTGCAGCTTGGTTTGTTTGTGAAGTATGAAATGCAGGGTTACACTAAATCTACCGTGAAAACTTTGAGGAGCAATGAAAAAGGTGCTGATAGTGATTTCTTGTTGTTCCTCTGTTAATATGTTGATCTGCACCAATGGATGTGCTCTAACTGACAAACCCTGTCTGCCCCATTATTTTATTCTCTGACAGATAGGCCCACTCCAACAACACAACCTCTGAAATTAGAATTATGATTTTAAAATATATACATGTTTGATACTATATCTTGTTTAATTCCATACAATACTTTATGACCAGTGAAAACATCCAATAAAAAGCTTCCTACCTGGCAAAACTACTTCACAAAATCAGATTATATTCATTCTGAAATATTTTGACTTATTTTCCCACTTATATGTTCATTTTACACACTGACAAACCTTTCATAATATATTTCAATATTTCATCATAATAATTTTCCATAATGAAAAAGCTAAATCTCAAAGTCAATACAGAAATGTTAAAGACAGTGTAAAGATAACCTACTGCTTTGAATCGACAGAAAACAAACATAATGTCAGTTAAAGGGATTTTGACAAAAAACGTAAGTTACATAAATTACATCTCATCATTATCGCTCATTTTCTATGCACATCCTGAAATATTTTAACCTCAATTATACTGGTAAATGTCAAGAAAACCTGCTCAAACACACGTAGTTGTTTGAGCAGCACAGAAACACAGTTTGGCTACTTTGTAAAACCAACAGAAGTGTTCTCCGTGTCTGAAAAGGGTCAAGAAAAAAGAGGAAATGAAACATATTGTCAATGTTTGACAGATTAATATACTGACAGTCCCTAAAGGGAACAAAAAGTAGATCTGTAAACAAAATCTCGATGGTAAGAGGAAGTATCTGTTTTCAGACAACATCACATGAGAGGACGTCATTGGAAAGCCCACATAAATTTGGGCCTTCAAGCCTGTGGTAAAATTACTGTAAATCAACAAAACATTATGTGAGAAATGAAGTGCAGAATCATGATAAGTGACTAAAAAATGGCAAAAAACCTTAAGGAGCTATGTAAATAGTGCTGTTTGGGGAAATTTCCTCATCGTTTTTTAGGGTATGTTTCTCTGAGTGAACAGATTCACTCTAATCTGAAGGACTCTGTCAACGTCATTATTTTCCACTTTGACAAAAGTGACAAAACATTCCTATATCCTGACAGCACTGCCTCCGTTTGAGTGGGGATGTCTTCTAACTGCTGAATTATTTCACAGTTTATTACATACAGGCCTAACTCAACATAAATGTATTGTTTAGAGTTTAAAATAGTATAATTTTTCCTGCAGATGTGATCTTTCTGCACTATTTTTATCTAAAAAACATAGGATGGGTTAATTCTGCATGTGGGCAGCAGATGGCGACACAAACCCTGAGAGCGCTTAAACCGCTTGAGACACTAGATCACAGGTAATGTTATCAATATCCAAACATCATTATAGCAGAAAAGCTGATATATCTATTGACATATTTTTCTCTCCTTTGTTCTTTCAATTATTCCGTTTTGGTCAAATTAATCCAAAATTTACATGACGTTCTTCTCAATTTCATCTGCTTTTGGATAATATATTTTAAACTTTTCTATTTATTATTTACTGTCTTTCCTGATTGATATAAGAAGGAACTCCGAGACGTATGTAATTCTGACCGGTGTTTACTCGGTGCACCTCACTGATGTGGAAGTCAGACTTTTGTAAGATAACCACCTACAGGTTACGCACCGTTACTGTGCGTAACGGTGCGTAAAAGCGCCAGCAACACTTTATGCGCGGTCGAAATTCAAGCAGATCAGGCAAATGATGAAAAAAACAAACAGGCTTACATAAGAACATTTTGATTCTAAAAAAGAAAACACGATGAACCACACTATAAATCCACACTAATCTCCCGTGAGTGGAGTTTTGGGGAGAACAGGTTCATTAACAAACACACAACAAATGTAATCGCAAGCAACACAAAACACAACTTCAGACTGCACTTAAGGATTTTTGAGGATTCTTGGAGTATTTAGATATATAAAACCACACATCATACTTTTTAGATTGAGATCATTTTATTTCCAACGAAAGCATTTCAGTCTATTACAGACCAGAATGGAGAGAGAGGATTTGGAATAGCAAAATCATTTTTTTCTACTATAGAAAAACTAAAAATAGCTTAAGCAAACTCAGTGGAGTCGAAGGCATCTTAGTCCACACAAAGTCAAAGGTCGCCATTAAAACCCCCTTTGGGTTGCAGTCACGGCTCCGTGGAAAGGGAACCCTCACTTCTTGGCGGCGGCCCTTTTGGCCACCTTGCGTTTGGCCTTCCTGGGACTCTTTGCCTTTTTGGGCTTCGCAGCGGCTTTCTTGGCTTTTTTGGGCGTCTTTGCCTTCTTCTTCTTCTTTGGAGACTTCTTGGCTCCTCCGGCCGCTTTCTTGACGCTGGCCTTCTTTATCTTTTTGGCCTTCGGCTTCTTCTTTTTCACCACCTTCTTCTTGCGAGGCTTTGGGGGCTTTTTGTTGAGCTTGAAGGAGCCAGACGCCCCGCTGCCCTTGGTCCGGACGAGAGATTTGTTCTTCACCAGTCGCTTGATGGCGATGACAATCCTCGCTTTGTTCTTCACCACATCATATCCTCCGGCCTTCAGGGACTTCTTGAGGGCAGCCAGGGACACGCCGCCGCGCTCTTGGGACGCGGCCACAGCCTTCAGTATCAGTGCTGACAGCGTTGGCCCTGCTGCCTTCTTCTTGGTTCTCTTTTTGGGAGATTTGGCCGGAGATGCAATCGCAGCTGAATACATTATGAATCCGCAGAAAAATATCAGGTCAATGAGGGTCACAGACAGGACAGAGTGATATCTCCGTGTGAACCCATTGATAGGGTGAGGCTTCTTAACACCCCGGTGAGAACCGTGTAGAGGCAGCCCTCCACCACAGCTCGCCTCTTCTTGTTCATCTCAAACATCAGCAAGTTTGTGTTTTCTACAGTCAGATTATTCAGTATAAAATATGCCTAAACTTCTAAAATTCCACATAAAAAACAATCAATACAATTATGCACCATCCTAACAACCTGTGTTTTCACTCTTGTTGAAGAGGTTATCAAATTGCATGTTTTCTTTTGCAAAATGAGGAGCTGTCAGATGTCAAATGATATATGAGATGTGTGCTTTGGACATTTTACAAGGCTTCAAACAGAAAAACAATCAAATGATTCATTTTGTAATTGGATCATCTTAAACAGATGAATGTCTCTGATGTCCCAGACTCCTGAAATTTATTTGATCACAGCTATTTTGCTTGATAAATCCACTTAAAGAAGAACAAAGAAACACAGTCTCTCCCTTGTGAAGATAAACTGACTTTTTCAGGAGGAAATCTCTGCAGTGTGGATAAACAAAGTTGAAATTTGATTAAAGAATCATCTGAAAAAAGGTCAGTACTTTTAAATGCAAATTTTTTTGACAATATGCTGCTTGGTGCTTACAGTTTACAATACTGTGTCTTCACTATGTGAAAAGAGATGGACCTGAGCCAGAATAAGAGTTATCAGCTTGTGAAGAGGGGTGGATAGAAAAACGAATTTTCGACTAATTTCCCGGGTTTCTGAACCCCACCTTTTTTATTAATATTAATCTGAAATCAGCAGGAGATTGTCCCTTGTTTGTATACAAGCCTATAAACTATTTTCTTACATGTTAAGCATCAGTCTCTGGTATTTGATTATTTCCCTTCCCTTTTGTCCAATAAATTTTTGCTAAAACTGACTTTATATTTTGTTCACCAACCCCCCCCCATTGACTGCAAAATATTCAATACAGTTTCATGGCAAAATGTGTAATACTCACATATTTGTAGTGTATTGATTTGTGTCAAACATATGCAAACATTTACAAAATAAATAGTATATACATTTTATTTCCACTTTAGTAATGTTTTTTGAGGGGGAATTTCTGTTTACAAATGTAACTGAAAAATTGGCAATGACACCAGGTTTAACGTTTGATGCAGCAGGGCCTGCACTGGCTTACTGATCAATCTAAGCCTTATACGTGTACACACTTCAGAGAGCTGGTTTAACCGAGGGGAATTAGGATCCTGCTCTACCGCTATTTTCTTTTTTATATGAGATAACGACTATAAGCGTGTGTCTGTATGTGAGCGGGAGAAGATTGGCAAATGCCGTCTTGCCTTCTGTGGTTCACTGATAGGGCCTTTTCCAGTTATGAGATACAAACACACAAAATATCCCAACTTGTCTCTATGAGGCCCATCGGTGGTGAGTCTGTTTCTCTCTTATGTGGAGTACAGATGATGAATACATATACCTGACAATATATGTACAGTACTTTGCCAAAGTATTCGGCCCCCTTGAACTTTGACCTTATGCCACATTTCAGGCTTCGAACAAAGATATAAAATTGTGATTTTTTTGTGAAGAATCAACAAGTGAGACACAATCATGAAGTGATCATGGGCCTGTTGGATGCATCTCTGATCAGTCTTTTCCTTGTTTGAGCGGAAAATTTAGAGGGACGGCGGGGTCTTCGTGGATTTGCAGTGGTCTGATACTCCTTCCATTTCAATGTTATCGCCTGCACTGTGCCCCTTGGGATATTGAAAGCTTGGGAAATCTTTTTGTTTCCAAATCCAGCATTAAACTTCTCCACAACAGTTTTTTCAGACCTGCCTGGTGTGTTCCTTGGTCTTCATAATGCTCTCTGCGCTTTAAACAGACCTCTGACACTATCACAGAGCGGATGCATTTAAACAGAGACTTGATTACACACAGGTGGATTCTATTTACCATCATCAGTCATTTAGGTCAACGTTGGATCATTCAGAGATCCTCACTGAACTTCTGGAGAGAGCACTGAAATTAAAGGGGCTGAATCATTTGGTACACCCAAGTTTTCAGTTTTTTATTTGTTAAAAAAGTTTTAAATATCCAATAAATGTAATTCCACTTCATGATTGTCTCCCATTTCTTGTTGATTCTTCACAAAAAACTAAAATTTGATAGCTTTATGTGTGAAGCCTCAAATGTGTAAAAAGGTCAAAAAGTTCAAGGGGGCCGAATACTTTTGCAAGGCACTGTGTGTTATATCTTTAGAATAAATTATTATTTCCATTGGAATACTATAAAAATTTGATCTAATCCTTACAAAACATTCAAACATTTTGTGTAATTTTCATAGCACCTTCTCTTAAAGCTCTTGTCAGTTAAATATTTCAGTCAAGGAGAGCAGAACAAAATGTTTTTCGGATAAACCCTTTACTGACTGAGGAGACCTTTGATGTTTTCTAGAAGACCTCTCTGAGTCCTACAGGTTCACCAGACCACGTTTGGTTCTTGATTAAGAGGGTATTTGAATTTATTCCATTGAATCCTTCCAAAGATCGAACTGGCAGAGGGGTTTATGATCATCATTTACTCAGTCTAAAATTTCATAAGCTGAAAAAACACAACAGCATTTCAGAAAATGCCTTTACAAAATTTTAAATCACTGATCATTCTCTGTAAATGTATCCATAGGCTGCTGAACTGAGTTTTTCTTTCTAGTCTTGTGTCACCCATATTTACCAGTTTAACTTAACAATGTTTTATTGTATATCATTTGTGACCCTTGGCGGTGCAAGGGCAGCTCACATTGAACAGTTTCACTTCATTCACTTACATGTGAGAAGCACACTGCAGATTTTGCCCAGAGCCATAGAATTGATAAGGGAGGAAAAAAAGTGCATAGGAAAAATATAGTGAAACAATTCATGGGTTTAAATGTCACACAGTATTCTTGGTTAAGATATTGGTTTGTTTAAAAAACTGACTGCATGTATAGTGGTGTAGAAATGCCAGACACATGACAGGATGGAGCATGTGTTTCTGAACAATAAATGAAGCGTGTGAGAGGCATAAGATAGGTCTAGCAGGTACAATCTGCCATGCTTCTTCAAACTTTGAGGTTGGGTGAGTTAAATATATCAGACTGAGCCACTATCATTCATCTGTTAGTCCTACTCAGGTACAAATTGAAGCACTTACCTCAGCAGATAAAATGCCAACTCTCATTCTTGATTAATATTTTATGATAAAGTGTTTCGGGGAAGTACATTTCAGAGGCATGTTTTTCCAGTTCTATATTAGCTGTCAATAGAGGCAGAATGTGACCAAGCAGATGAGCTTTCCTCATTCAGTAATAACATAGAATCATGACTTATTGGCACAGCTGTTGTGGAAGGAAAATAAAAAATAAAAAAGGCAAAGGAAAACTCCTGTTTCTAAAACATTTAATCTAACTTTTTTCTTTTTTATTCCTATTAAAGATTGAATGGAGTGTGTGTGTTTGGATTTGCTTTGCAGCAGAAGCACTCAGAACTTATTAAGCTACTTATGGAGGGGGGAAAAAATGCTGAGAATTGGCCTGAGGTCTGTGAGGTTCCCTCTCAGCTGCAGAGGGGAGTGCTGCTGCGAGTCTGTGGGACCTGTTCTGCTCTTTTGCTCACGCTTCCTCAAAGCATGTGACCATGTGATCCCGGTCTGTGTAGTTCAGCGGACAGAGGGAGGCAACTTGTGACCGAGAAGGCAGCAGGAACTCGACTCTGCGTGATTAAATCTGGCCTTCAATCTCCTCCACACCGCCTGAGAACATGGACTGCGGGATCGCCACGTCTAAAACCATCCTCCTCTTCCTCAGTTTAGTGTTCTGGGTAAGTGGCTGTTTTGTTCCCACCTGCATAGATATGACTGACGGTGGGTTTTGTTTAGTTTTTAGTTTTTTTGTATAGCCTATTAAACGTGGTTGTTGCTTCTCAGGCCTAGTTGTTTATCTCTAAATGCTCTCTGTTATTTAACTTTAAGCTGTTTTTTCCTCTTTCACATGTATGTTTTAATGTTATGAAAGTCTGATCTGTGACTTGATAAACAGCCACGAAGCTTGGCCCATTTTTAATAAATGTTTTTGGTCAGCGTATTTATCGGGTTATTGCTTATAGGTTATTTGTTGTCACATAGGAGTCTCTGTTTTGTGTTTGTTTGTCCGTCCCACCCTGAAATCCTGCTGTAAATGAATGGAAAGCTGGCCAAAACACTTTGTAACGTTGCCAGTAGACTCGTTTGAACTCGGTCTGTGTCTGACCTTCGTCCCTAAAATGTGCTTTCAAGGGACAGCCGGTAAATGAAATTTAGTCTGTGACCGATTGACCCATAATTGCGTTACTGTTTGTGAACGGGCGTCTCTGTAAATATAGGTAAGAGGAGAAACGTTCATGTCTTGTGTTTTAATTTGAATATCCAAATCTGTGGTGTTACTACTTTTGTTTCTCTTCTGAGTCTGGTTCCTCCATGTGGCCAGATCACCATCCATTTTACTGGGTCACACTTAAGTGGCACAAATGGATTTCTTCCGAGTGAAATGTGCTCTGAGTTTTTGTTGTTAATGTTTTGTTGTTTTTTCTTTTTTTCTTATATATCAGGCAGAAAAAAATGTCCCAAATCTGAGCATGGGCCTGCAGTTGTTAAACATGAAGTCCCTGTTATGTGAAATTTCAAACCAATCTACCAGACTGTAACATATTACGCAATGTTGTTCAGACTCAAACAAGTATATGTAAAGTTTTATTGAAAACATGCTCTACATGATCCACCGAACATGTCAGGGAATTGAAACTTGATTCGGGTTTGCTCTCAACACTCTGACGCACGTGAGCGAAGAAGTTGTGGCTGCTTTATTTTTTCTAGAATGCACTGCCTACCAAATGTCCATGTGGCGTCCATCAACGCCCCACCACTCACTAAACACTCATCTATTCCCACAAACCGAGACGCATTACTCAGAGGTTTTGTTACATTCCACAGAAGTGGCTCCATGCGTGAACGCTATATGTTGTGTAAGCCTCTTTGTGCAACTTCTTAGGCACAAGATGAGATTTTCTGGAAAGATTAGGGGTGAGCGGCGGAGGAGGTGTAGCAGAACAACCCCACAGGCATCCCGTGACTGTGGAGTGATTAGAAAAGGGAGTCATGAGGCTGAAGTGGAGCATGAATTATTGTTAGGCCACACATTACACATATCCTGGCATGAGCAAAGACAACTGATCAACTTTTATAGGGGAAGTCATACTGCTGCATTTGTTCAGTAAGACATTTAGGAGATTTTTTAGGTAATTTTGCAACCCCCTCTTAATGATTGGCTTTTTTTTTTTCTAATCACAGGCTTGTGAAAATCCAGTCCTATACAGTGTGTATCAAAGGTCAGCTGGAAATCAGTGCTTCACAGGCATTGTTTTGTCAACAGTTGTGTGTGTGTGTCTGTGTGTGAAGTATAGTTTCGGCCATTTTTGACCTTGTCATCAGAGACAGAAAGCAGAATTTGCTTGGTTGTTACTCAACAGTTAAAACGGGAGTTATCCATAAGATTGCACACCACTGACTCTTTAGTTTACGATCTTATGACTGCTGATGTCATGGGTTACTGACTTGTCGAACAGCCATGATGAGGATGTGATTTGATACACACCCCCATACCCTGGGATAACTGGATGAGATGATATCAGATAATACAATGAGAGATAGTTATTTTTGTGGTTTATTATAGTGTTTCAACAGCCAACTTTGTTCCTACTCTGAAGGTGCAAATGACAGAAGGCATTGCCTTTCAGCCTAACTGTCAAGGCAGAAACCAACCAGAGATAGTTGTAATAGAATTAGCTTTATCTAGGTCTTTTAATCTCATGTTGACAGAATGGAAAGCCAACAAATTAAAATTTACAGTAATCACATTGTCGGAGGTAAAAAAAAAAAGCAATAAAACAGAATAAAAAATAAAAAAAAGTATTATTCCAGATATACAATACCGTCATGGTCACACAGCAAATTTCACATGTATAAATCAGTTTTCTTCTGAATAACATTGTTTGTAAGTCTAAATGTAGAAGCTGATTAATGAGACATTTAGAGACAGAAACTCAAATTTGGACAGTACAATATGTTCTTTTTCCTTATAAACAAATAAGTTTCAATTCACACTCTTGTTCCAGTTTAATCCTTTCCAATGATAGTTCTTTTAAAATAGGTCATAGTATCCTTTGTGAGCCATCATTTCCCCTTATTGAGTTATATAGCTTTGTGTTCACAACAGTCTGTCAAGTTACGAAGTCCAGAGTTCAAGTTATTCTGTCACAGATGCGTATGTAACACCTGTCCTAATCCACCCATCTTTGCTTCTGTCTTATTCTCAGAGAGAGTACGATAATTTGGATTATGATTCCTTAAATAAATTTGGACAAAAATTAAAATCAAATTAAATGGATGAATGTCATGGATATAGTAAAAAGACATCTTTATTGTGTTCGTCTGACCAATATTGGGTTGTTACATGCATCTAAACATCTGAATTGAGTTTCTTACAAAATAATCTAAAAAACCCAATATGTAAACTCAATAACCTGGATTTGACAAATTCCAAAGTTTTAACATCAATGAGAGAAAAAAAGAAGCTGCACTCTTTCTGATGCGTTTCTCTTTCTTATGTCAGTCAAACACATTGGAGATTATAACCAAGCCAATTGATTATTATGAGTGAACTTAAATAATGATGAATAATAAAATGTGTATATTATTATTATTAGCAGTAATATCATTATATAATAATATTTTCATATTATTTGTATGCAATGATAATCTATCAAAATCACAAAGTAGTGGCAACGTCTAATCAGTAATTCAACATATTCACACTTGCGGTGATTTCCTGCAGAGAAAGTTAGAATCAGCAGAATGTCCCTCACACAGTCAACAGCACTGCAACGTCAAGCATTGTTTAATCAATGATTCAAATATTCTCCCCTGAATGTAAACTGGGACAAGGATACATGCCAACTCACACTGTTATCCCCGACTGACTCAATATTTCATGTACTTATTCTAGATGTGTCCCACATTTAGTTAATTCTTGTGATTTGGACAGCATAGCTTGCCATAATTACAACAGTACACAAAGTAAAGGGAGTCTGCACACAGTTTAAATCTATGAGATCATCTTTCTGATGGCCCATTTATCTGGAAGTTAGAAGCACATTATCTTGTGAATTATTAATAGAAAAAACATTGATTGCTCTGACAGATCATCACATGTCTCCTTACCTCATCGCTTCCTACTCCTCCTCTTCCTCCACAAGGGTGAAATTTGGCCTTTGGAGAAGGGGACCTCAAAGAAAATGGAATTTGACACTATTTTTTGTTTTTGTTTTACTAATAAAAAGTTTGATATGTAACATGGGTTGTTTTGTGGTCCCTGCAGGCGGCCGGGGCAGCATTGGCCTACGTTGGTGCCTATGTCATCCGGAGCTATGACAACTTTGAAAGTTTCATTCAGGACAAACAGACGCTGATTCCTGCAGCGATCATCATCTGTATCAGTGTGACCATGTTTGTTTTCGGTCTGGTGGGATGCTGCGCAACACTTCGCGAGTCCAAATTCGGCCTCAGCTTTGTAAGCGCACAGCTGCAAATCTTTGCTTAATATTCACTAATATCTCTCCTTTCCAGAAGTTTGAACTTTGTCTTACCTTGTGTATTGAACTTTTCTGTTTTTGCAGTTCTTTCTGATTATCATGGTCATCTTCGCTGCTGAGGTTGCTGCTTTAGTATTTAGCTTCATCTATCAAAACAAGGTGAGCTACAGATGAATGCTCCAAATGTTTTTTTTTTTACATATGATTTGCTGGAACTCATTTCATTGCACTATATCTGTGTCTGTTATTAAAGAGCAGATTTGTGTGTTTATGTCCTGTCATCTGTGCAGATAAATGAAGACCTGGGACGCTCTATGACTGATGTCTTCTCAAAGTATGGCGGACAGGATGCAGAGACTAAATCTGTGGATTTGCTGCAGACTCAGGTGTGTTGTATTTAATTGTGGCTTAAAAGAGTTTCTTTCTCACTTCTTGTTTCATGTGGTTCAACATCTTCTGCTGTGTGGGCGCCCTCTTTCAGTAACATGGTTTTATTTCCTCTATTTTTCTTTACCCGTCAGCTTCATCGCAAACAGAATGTCCCACGTTTACTTTTCTGTCTGTCAGTAGTCTGTTGTCCGTATGGGACATGCCCAACGTTGTTAACTGAACAAGAATATGTGTCAGAGTGCATAAGTGAAAAAATAAACATGACGTCATGCATGCCTGCATAACCTTTGCATCTTTTCCTAGTCATGTTCTTTATGGGCAGTTTTTGAGATAGCTGGCACCTCCTGAATAACAAATGGGTCTTATATTGACCTTTTTTTATTTAACTTCCTTTCATTTTTGGTGCAAGGTGTTCTAAAAGGTATTTTTGATGAATCCCATTTGATAGGAAAAACTAACATAAAGGTTTTCTGCAGTCTTAGTTCTTTTGAAGAATATCACACACATCTCTGTCCTGTGAGTTTCTTTTGTTTTGCATGTCACAGTTTTTACTTTTTTTTTTACCATGTTTAAATCTGAAGATTGGAGGGAACATTCTAATATAATCAGCCTGCACCTCTTGAAGTACTGCTTTTCATTTTGAGATCAAGTTGCTGCAATCAACATGAAACCATTTTTAATAATGACATCTAATTTTTCAGAGCCTTTTGGTGTAATATTAACACATATTTAAATGAATCTTTTTAACAGACGATAAGAGCCTTCTGTTTTGTAGAACCCTTGAACACAAAATTAGCCTTGAAACATCAGGTTAGCCATTCCAGTCTGTAAAACTCCTCAGTGTCTTAAACTTTGCAATCAACATGATTTTTTTCTAAATATAAAAATGTTTAGTTATGATGTTTAACTTGAATTAATGTTTTAGAATGAACCTTCTGCTTTTTAAAATGTGGTTAATCTTCGACTCAGTGAAAGTAACCTTTCCCTTTTTTTTCTGTACAGTTGCAGTGCTGCGGCGTTTTTAATCTCACAAGCTGGACCAACACTTCCTGGTTCAGCAGCAACAACAACACAGTGCCTCTGTCATGCTGTAAAAACACCACATTGCCGTGCACTGGCCGGATGGACCAACCAAATTTGCTTAACGTAGAGGTAAAACATAGTATTGTATGTTGTTTAGTTTTTTTAATCTACTTAGGCAGTCCAAAAGTCTGCGGTGTGTGCTCTTTATTTAATTTGGAAATGCTACCATTATCCTTGCCTAAGTAATGTAAAAAAATATATATTTATGTACCGGTCTCCCAGGTATTTGTAAGGACACAAAATAATTATTTAATTTGAGATTCATGAAATTCCCCTCTTGCTTTATATTACAGGGTTGTAAGCCTAAGCTGGAGCGTCTCCTACAGGATGTAATGACTTATGCTATGCTGGTCATTCTTGGTTTTGCCATCATCAAGGTAAACCACAGTGTTGTTGATGACTGTGAATTACTCTCTCTCTCTTTATCTCTCTCTCTCTCTACATATATATATATATATATATATATATATAT